GCGTTGGAAAACGACGCAGAGCAATTTAATTGGCCCTACTTTTATTAAAAGTACGGACATCAATTGATAAAATGACATTTTCAATTCCATTTCTGTGTCCAATAGTATTATTTTCAATTATTGACTAATCTTCGGGTTGATTTTTTTACACTTGTCCTTACGAAAGTCCGAGAGAACTGCTGCAAGGTGGCATATTTTTGAAATTATTCCATTTTAATTAAATCCAATAAAGTTATTTCATTTGTCTGGATTATTCGAGTGAGTTCGACTTCCATAATGAACGTTCTTTATTAATAAACCTGTACATTATAAATTGCATCCTGTGTTGTTGTTGTTGTTTGTTTGGTAAAGTATCTTCGGGTTATGTGCTCCGATTATTTTGATTTATTAAAAGTTCTAATATTAAATTTCAAGGTAAAATAAAGATATAGAGAGATTTCTCTCTTGAATGTTATTCAACTGAGTTTTGAGTGGATGAAAATGATGCTGCTTTTCAGTTGAGTTTTGCCTTTGATATTTTCATAAATTCGAAAAACCGATATTTTGGATTTATTATTACTGGATTACGTCTAATTCTTGCAGCCAAATGAATATAATAAGATGAGCCAAAAGATGCTTGAAAACTGATTAAATTTTATTGAATTATTCAACGTTAAAATTTACGGTTGTGTTGTATCAGAGCAAAAGTGGCGAAAGAAGAAAGAAAGAAAAAAACATCCACAAATTAATTAAAGCACTCATGCTGAGCGTGCGACCAATTGAGAGTATTCTGTTTAAAAGTCAGTTTTCGGTATATGCTTTTAACCTTTTGTAGTTAAATGTTTGCACAAACGATATGCTAGACCCGATGAAAAGACCTGACTAAGAACCGACCAATGAACATACAGCCACAGTCATTGAAAATGACGTGATTACGGTGCACAATTTTCCTAAACGATAATACGTTCAAATTAAAATACCAAGCACACAAATACACATGCACACATAATAAATGGACAAAAATTAAATACACTACTACAACTGCTTTTGAAATTAATTCGTCGAAATTATGCAAAAGCATTTTTAACATGTTTATTAAATTTAAATTGCACAAGAGCATAAACGCAGACAACGTGATTCAAGACGGTAACTTATTTTAATTTAATTTACGTGAAGTACACACGTTTTGTCGCATTTTTATGCAAATTAGCGGTAAAAGAAAACAATTTTTCATTTGCTTTAATTATAGAATAATACTAGATTTATTTAAAACGATAATAACCTCCCTCTCTCGCGTGGAGAACGATGATTGGGCAAATATTTTTAAGTTGCAATATGATTATCTAAATCAAAAAGTTTTTCATAAACATAACCACAAAAGCGCTTATGTCTTCTGGTTTCTTTCCACGTTCAATTTTATAAAATGGAACATAGTTTTGATCCATACGTTAAAGCGCCCGTATTTGAATAATTTCCACCAAGTGTGCATAAATGTGGGATTGTAAAAGTTCCGTGTGTGCCATTCATTGTGACAACATGAATATGATCTCGACACTAGTCGAATGCGAACTAGATTAAAATCGGTGTACAGAAAATTTTCGAACATGAAATATATTTCATATATGAATTATAAGCACGAAAATATGCAACAACTAGTGTTTTCAGTTGCTAGAATCAGGCGAGATAGAGCATGAGACTGAACCGAAAAAATGGAATTTGTATGGAAGAAAAAAGTATGAAATTGATACGTCATATGGTTGTGTGTCAGTGCGCTACGTATAACCGGGTTTAGCATGTCAAAATATTTGAACATATCCACAGCATGGCAAATATGAATATGTAAATAAGAACATCGCAAACGGCACGGCAACTGAAACCCAAAAAACACGATGACTCAACATGAATAAAACGTTAAACTGTATTTACTCGAGAATTTTTTTTTTCGCCTCTCTATCTCTCTCGGATGTTGATGAAAAAAATGCACGCTAACATTGAAATTGTCTGTGTTTTTTTAAACTGAGATTTTTTTTGTTTGCAAATGAAATCCAGAGAAAGTGTAGTAGTACAGAGGAGATGCATATGTGAAAAGAAAACCACCGCACAAAGATAAAATTGATAAATAAACAAACAAAGCGAATTTTCTAGCGATCTCATTAAAACGATGAGTTTCGGCGTTGCTACGCTTTAACCATATTTGACTCGTCAACATTCTCGTTATTTAACATCAAATTGAAGATTCCATTCTTAATCCAATGCAATTCACATTTTTTGAAAAACTCGGGGAGATAAGAAGACAGAGAGAGAAGAAGACCCAAAGAGTTGTGCAAATTCACTTGAATTTCTACTGAAATACTTTTTTACTGTACACAAACGAACAATGGTTTTTCTTGTAAACACCGAAAATTAATATGTAATTTTGTGCACACATCAAAATTAAATTAATAAAATATTTTCGTCAAGCTTTTGTGTGTATGTAACTGAGTCGATGATATTCACGGTACTCTCATTGTACCGCAGTACATTAACAGCAACAGCATGTGATACACAGATTTTTTTTAAAATTAGCTTCGTCTAATTGAAACGCCAAACTTGACTTACACACATTATTTGTATTTGTTTCATGCTACTCTTTTAAACGCGCAACTCAATTTTTTTTCATTTAAATTGTTTACTTTGATCGACATTTTTTCCGTGAAATAGAAAATGGAGTCTGCGGTTTAACTTTGTGTGCGTGTAAATGCGTTTGCATTTAGCCTTGTGTAAAGAGGCATAATCAAGCAATATTTTCCACTCGAACAAAGTGAACCACTTTTTCGCTCTTCACATTTTAAATTCACTTGAAACACCAGATTTTGGATTTTTTTTTTGTTTTTGCTCTCATGCCACCAACTCCATACTTTTCTTGTATTGTTTTAATTGAATGAGAGGATTTCGCATGAATCACGCTGGATGAATAAATAAGAGAGCGAGAGAGAGAGAGAGAGAGAGAGAGAGAGAGCGAAAGCAGTTAAGTTGTTGTGTGCAATGGAATGGCATTGCACAGCCGCATAAATCCGTTAATGTGTTTTCGTTTACTTTGTACTAAATCCACTATAAAAGTACTTTTCGCAATTTTTTTCTGCGCTCACAAAATCTCTCGCACTCGGTCTATTACACGCGTGTTTGTCTTCTTTCTCTTTTCGCTCCTTTTGCTCACTGTTTCGTGTAATCAGTTGAATATGTCAAACATCATCGACGATGTGATTCGCATACCACATGATATGGGATTGTTGGTTTGTCGGGTTTTTATGCGTTTCGCATTTTCATTTTTATCGCACCGAGATTTCTTTATGATTATTTTTATTTCGTTGGATTTATATTATTTGGATTTTCTAGTTTTATTTTTGCTTCGTTTTTTCTTTTATTCATTCAACAAAATCAACACAGCAAATATAGAGCCCAAAAAATCTATTGCGTTGCAATGTAAATGCCATTCCAAACCAAATCCACTGCATAAATATGTGATCTTTATTGAAAAATGTATGCTGAATATGTGTGAAACGTTTGACTGATTAATGTTCTTCTTATATTCAAAGGAAGAAGGAAAGAAAAACTTTGCGATTGATCGCATAAAATACAATTTCGCAAATATATATATATTTTGCACATATTATTTTAATGAGGTGGTTGTACATTACACATGGAGTAAGCACATGCATCTGTTCATTTCACAAAACGGTTAATGGCTTGGAAAAGTTGTATATGAAAAGAAATAATATTTTAAAAAAACCTTGACTTGAAGGTGATGAACGGAAATGCATTGAAGTGCCGTTCGATTGAAATTGTGCACATTTCAATTTAATGGACTTCAAACGAAGATAAATAAATAAACTCCTTACTTTGATGCACACTTTCTACGTTTATTTCATTTCCTGTCCCTCTCTATTTATCTATCTCTCATCCTCTCCATTGCACTTCCCAAGAAGTGTAGCAGTTACATTTTTTCCGTGTGTATTTTTTTCGCTTTCGTGTGGCAGAAATTGAACTCATTAAATGGCAATATTGCAATTTTATGCAACAATTTTTCCATCTTTGATACACAATCTCCGCAATCAATATCGTAAAATACTCGCTACAAAGTTGATTAATTTTTTTAATGCGGTTTCTTTTCTTTTGCATTCCATTTCAGCGCCATTCAAACGCGATCTGGAATTGACTTGTAATGGCGTCAGTATATAAAAGTGCCTTTTATGCGATTTCGTATTGGTTTTAAAATGAGATGTTATGACTTTATGTATAGCGAATCAATGTCGGACGCATGAATGTGAATGTCTATCTAAATGCAGTGAAAGTAAATTTCTCTATAAATTGTTGAATAACCAATGCTTTGCTTCGATTTTTCTTTTTTCCAACCTCATTTCATCGGAAAACTGCTTTTTTTCTTACTTTGTTCAGGGCATTTTCCTCACGCCAAACGCACTTAACATTTTATTTTCTCTTTGTATGTGTATCGTGATGTTTCGTTTCTGTTTCGCCATTTTGCCTTGTGTGATGTGTTACATGGCCTGTCATAAAAATGCACACTGAAGTTTGAAAGCAATTTTAAAGCCGGAAACTTTCGTTAAAATATAATTTCCGTTAATTTACGATTTCGATGCAATTTGCGGATGTTGACGCAAGATGGCAAATGGTCTGTTGTTGAATGACGGTGAAAAGCTTCAAGTTTATTTACAGTTTAAGTGAAATATAGAGTGTATACATACATTTAAAATATTCGGCACTCTTTTAAAATACTCGTTCAATTTTGAGACGAACTAGCAGCGGTAGCACTTTTCTTTTTGGAAGATTGAAAATCGAAAGTGCTACTTGGTGAAACTTAAACAAAATATCCTATTTTTGGCGTAGCTACTTTTACCCCGTTTGATAGGGAACAATTAATGAACCGTGTTTTTTATGGTCATCAACACTTTCCTTTTTCTCATTCCGCTCTCTGATTAAGTTATCACATTAATTTTCGTGTCTATTTTTCTTTTTTTACACAGGCAACTTTTATCGCCCAATATACAACAAAAACATTATATGTCCAACGGATATGCCATGGAAGGTGGTCGACACGTAAGTATACAACAGCGAGAAAATAAAACAATGACGATGACAGCAAAATTAAATTCTTGCCGAAAAATCTAAATAAAGCGCGAACTCGCTTTTATTCAATTCGATAAGAGTGTTACGGCGTGGAATTAAAGTAATTTAAATTTTCGATTAAACTCATTGAGTTTGGCTTTGAAGTGCTGTTGTCTCAATACAGCAAATACGTGAAACGAATTAAAGTGAATTCACATCAAACCATTCGTAAAACGACCCACTGCAAACGAGTATACACGCTTGAATGGTGCACGATGATTTGAACGAATTTATTTGCATTTGAAAGCAATTAAATTTACACAACGAACATTTACCAATTTTGAGTTTTTGTTGTTTGTTCCCATGATGACACGATGGAAAACAACAATGACAATGACTACGAGGGCAACGACAATCAATTGTTTTCAAGTCGATTTTACGATGGTTCGAGTGTATTCGTTGTTATTCACGATTTTAAAATGAATTGTGCGAGATGGAGACAGAACGAATGAATAAAAAAAAATTAATTATTTGCCATTTTCAGGATATCGAACACTGTTATTATCATGGCACGGTTAAAGATTATCCTGGTGCTAGTGCTGCCTTTCACACCTGCAACGGAGTTAGCGGTGTTATTCACGTAGGAAATGAAACTTTTGTTATACATCCATTTTTCGGAGGTGATTTATCGGTAAGCAATTCGTTTGTTTTTCTTAACCATTATTTCCCCCCGTATTTATCCCCGCACAATTCAATTAATAACATGTATTTCCCTTGTATTTTCTAATTACACGAAAGCTTTTGATATATAAAATGAAATTGTTTTAGATTTGTTGTAAATTTTCCATCAAAATGGGTGCGTTCATGCTTGAGATGCCGACATCTATAAATATTAATGCTGATGCATCGGTTTGTTGAAAATGTCGAAGACGATATGTATTCCTTGAGATTTTCCATAAGCATAGATCTGCTACAAGAGTATATTTTCAATCATGAATAAAACCATGACGCAAATAGATTTGGTCAATTGTCACCTCTATCCGAGAAATTTACTGATGCATAACAGTGTTAAATAATACATAATATGTGTTCAATCAAGTCACAATACAATGGAAGTTTCATTCATTGAATTGGGTGAGACATTAATTAAATTCGAATTTGGTTGTAAGGCAACCGACAGACAAATGCAAAATCAGAGAAATCAAAACAAGCCATCTCTGATATGTGGTAAAATTTCACAAATTTCAATCACATCGACCACATTTCGCATCTAATCATATGCTTCGCATATTTTATATATATAAAATTTGTATCCACAATAGAGTCGAGAACATTTGATGCCCATCAAAATATTCGATCGTCATGTATATATGAAGGTAACATTCAACAATATTATTTAGAATGTATATCATAATGCCTTCATAAATGGAATCAATACGAAATTATATGATAATAATTAAATGGCATTCGACCAATTGATTTGTATGCCTTTGGGTTTTATTCATAGTTAGTACAACCGGACGGACGGAGATGCAACCATGTTTTGATTATGAAAATGGAACATGACACTTGAATTGCGTTTCATCGAATATTTATGAAGTTATTACATATATACGCATTGAGTGGATGCGGCCATCGTGTATGATCAATTTGGACATATGAATACTTGACAAAACAAAAAGTGGACTTTACCGACAATTCCATTAGACATGCTACATATTTAGGAATATTCGTGATGTGCCCAATATATTTGTGGTGCATCTCATTGGTTCCATAATTTTCGTTTTGTTTTGATTGCCGTATCGACTTCATTAAAAAATTATCAATCTAAAACCAGAAGCAATATACATTTTCTTCTCTTCGAATTCCAATTCCACAGGCGTCCGATTATTATATATAAGATGTGTGATGTGAAATCCATGTATGTATTCCCTTTCATCGCCACATAGAATAGTTTATCAAAAGAATGCAGCTCGGAAATAAATCTATTCCATTGCATAAATAAACAAAGGCATCATTATCTCATGGGTGTGGCTACAGCCTCAGCTTCATTTCATCTAGGGATTTGTAAAACTAGTGTAATTAATGTTGTATTCAGTTCCATATCAATGGCTTCCGATTCAGTTTAAATTATTAAATTGAACAGCAATATAAATATATAGAGTATAAAGCCAACCACAAAATAATAACCGAATATCTTGGATATTGATGTTGTGGTCAAAAGAAATGTAACTAAAATTGTCTGTGAATGGTGTACATTATGAAAAGCAATGGACCGATTGAATCATCTGTGTTTCTTTGGTTCAATTGATGCTTATCGGTTTTTGTCTCTCCAATATTACATTGAATAGACAACTAAAGCATACAAAAAGCCCTTGAGTGAGCTAATAATCTAAGTGATGCCGTAGAAAATGCGTTGCATTTCTCGATTGAAACCGATTTTGTAATGGAAATACTAATAATAAAGCGATTTTTGTCGTTGTTATCGTCGGTAGAAACGGTTACCGATGCTGCCATTTCAAAAACAAAACTCCATCTCACACTTTTGCAAGCAAACAAAACAACCAACGAAATGAATGCGAATGAGAATGGAATAGATAAAATTGTATTTTGTGGACTGAATTGAGGTAGATTATCGTCGATGGATTTGGCCTTTGAACGAAAGATTCGTTCATATTGACCGGACTTTTCTTTCGCTGTGTATTTCTTTCCGATATACAGTGAATCTAATTTTTTTTATAGACAAAATAACAAGCAAAGTAAGCAGAGAAACTCTCCACTAACATAGGATTCATATACGAATGGCGTGTGAGTGGAGTGTGTCATGCAAAATTTTGTCTACCAAAAATATTAGATTCACTGTATATATATTTTTTATTCTCCATCTCATCGTACGATTGCCATTATATTGCGTTGAAGCAATAAAAGATGTTGTTGTGCTTACACTGTTTTTCCAATTTTCATTGCGGTGCACATGTCAGGATTCGTTTGGTTCTTTATTCAATGAGACGATGTCCCATCACGTCGAACACAGCTCATGTCTTTTCGATCGAAACGATACTCACCAGGTATTAAGCATTTTCGATGACCATTCGGATAAAAGTCCTATAAATAACTTTGCTTAAATTCCATGAAACAACAGCCGATCCCAACACATAGGAAATACGAGAATGGATAGGAAAAATGAGAAAACGAAAAATGTAATGCTCTATTTTGATTTTGTTTTCTCTCTTTTCCCAGATCTGTTCATTTTGTAGTCAAGCATTGTGAAAATGTTTGCGTGGGTAATGTGACTTCTTTTATTCTTAAAGCAGGAAGGTCGACAACGGTATCAAGCTTTTATCAATGGAAAATCACCTTTTCCATTGAAATGGCATATTCTATTCCATCGTCGTCGTCACCGCCGCCGCCGCCAAATATGTGCAAACCGTTACTTTCTTCAATAGTTGAATACACACTTTTCATTCAGTGTCCCGTCCATAGATTTTAGATAACATAATTCTTTCATAGACAATTCATTTGATAGAAACCATTTCTTTAGACGTGATTCTCTCTCTCTCCCTCGTCGGTGTCGACAAAGGGAAATTGTCGGCGTCACAGATATACGATACTGTCGGCCAGCAAGTGTAAACCCATAATCGTGAAATCGATTTGAAAAAGACAAAACATAAAGCCAACACAATTATGGCTACAATGATGTGTGTATGTCTATTTGCTGAAATAAACGAAAACGACGGAAAATCCGTTTTGGTCGGTTGCAAAATTCTGTAAGTGCAATTCAGATGTTTTCAATTTTGGTGTTTCAAGTAATTGCAAAGTATCGACGAAATGCTTTTTTCTTCAAAAAAAAAAAAAAAAACAAAAGACTCATCTAACAAGAGATAGTTTCAATGAGTTTTCGATAAATTCTGGTAGAAATAAATCCTCATCCAAAGTCTGATTTAAATGAAGACAAAGCTGGACATAAGAATTCTTATGAAATCCCGTGCAGAGAATTCAGTCAGAAAATATTCTCAACAATTGATGCGATACGAACAAACCTCGGATCGTCAATTTCGAATTTCGATTACAGTCCTTTGTTGGGCATGTATTACATTTTTTGTTGTTGCTTTCAGGAAGAAGCAAATCGGCAAAAAAAAGCGATTTCGAAAAGGAAAAAAGAGAAATTGATTGGGTTCTTTTTTCCCGTAAACTATTTTATTTAGTTTTTTACAATCCACTCCCCTGTCTCTCGGTTCACCGTGAGACATGTATTTTACTTCGAAAAAGTTGCTTTTACACGTAAATAAGAATTGTGGATAGGTGTGTTTATCTCCGATTGGCCAGTCACACACGGTAAAATCATACGTTCACATTAATCGCATTCTGGGAATATAGGCGCGCTCCTGTAAAAGTTTCACTTCTTTCACAAGTCATGTGCTTGTATGAAAGAAGAATAGGAAGATATTTAAAAATGAAATTGATTTTAGGATATAAACTGGAAATTGATTGAATGAGTCAAATCAATTCGGCAGATGACACGACAGCAATACCAACAATAACATAAAAAATACTGAAAATTATAGCAGAGCAAACATAAAATGTTGAAATTTATTGAATAGAACATCATTCTGTATTCAAAACATCAAATATATTGCAAGGATGTGTATGGCTTTAAGAAGTACAAAAAAAAATCAAAATAAATGACGCAAAGCGCAAAAAATCTTCGACAAAAGGCCAATTTTAACTCGAAATAAAAAATATATGGGCATCTTTCAAATGTTCAATGATTTCGGACATTGCACGTTTTATCTTTTCATTCTTCACACTTTTTTTGTTGAAGCGAAGGGAGACAAAAAAGAAATTGTTGTCGCTACTTGTCGTCACACATTTGAATGGTAAAAAAATTGCGATGGAGAAGACGACCCAAATACGAAAAAAAAAGTTGAATACGAGGGTTGCTCCATAATTTTTTTTAAAAACATATATAACACAGTTGTTTTTTGTCGAAAATGGTTGTTTTTCAAAATATTCCCCGAGATGATCGATACACTTTTGCATTCGATGAAACCATTTGTCATAGCATTCGTGCCACTCCGAAACTGATATCTCCAAAACGTGTGTTTTGAACGCTTCAACTGCTTCTTCTGGTGTCGAAAATCGTTGACCACGTAGTTTTTTCTTCACGCTTGGGAACAAAAAAAAGTCATTGGGTGCCAGGTCAGGACTGTACGGTGGATGACCCATCAGTTCGATGTTTTGACCGGTCAAAAATCGAGTAGTTTGAAAAGATGTGTGAGAGCTCGCATTATCGTGATGAAGAATTATTTTGCGACGGTGGTTGTTTTTTCTTATTTCACCAAACACTTCGGGCAAACAAATGGTGGTATACCAATCAGAATTGACGGTCTTACGATCCTCTAGTGGAACGGTTGCCACATGACCACTTCTCCCGAAAAAACAGGCGACCATTCGCTTCGAAGTGCTTCTTGCTCGAACAACTTTCGTTGGGTTATCTTCATTTTGGAAGACCCATACAGTCGACTGCTGTTTCGTTTCGGGCTCATAGGCATATATCCACGATTCGTCACCAGTGACGATTTTATTAACGTCTTTTGAAGCACCACGATTGAATTTCTTGAGCATTTCTTTACACCAACTCACACGAGCCATTTTTTGTTCATCGGTCAATTTATGTGGGATCCAACGAGAGCAAATCTTTTTTACGGCTAAATGTTCATGCAAAATTGTATGTATGCTGTGGGATGAAATGCCCAAAGATGCCTCAATCTCACGGTAGGTCACATGACGATCTTCCATAATCAGTTTTCTGACAGCATCGATGTTTTGTGGCACAACAGCCGATTTTGGACGACCTGTATGAAACTCGTCTTTGAGCGAACTACGACCGCAACGGAATTCTCGGTACCAGTTATAAATTGTCTGAAGGGTTGGTGCCAAAGGCCAAATGAAGTCGATCGAAACACTGTTGTTGAGATAATTTACTTCGAAAATCGTAGTAAATCATTTGACGAAAATCTTCACGTGTAAAATTCATTTTTTTGTTGAGTCGCAGTTTACCAGTCACTGTAAACAATACAAATAGCGTTCGTACGACAAAAGGTTCAGGGCACGAATACATACCAAAACATCAAACTTTACGAATATGACAATGGTTTACATCGGGCAACACTATAAGTACCATTTTAAAAAAAATTATGGAGCAACCTACGTAAAGTGAAAAAATCAAGTGAAAAATGAAGCCCGATGTATATCCCGAAGCACATGTGCGAGAAACGTTGTGCATCGCACATGTTCACTTTACACAATAGCATCATCGATTGGTCTAAATGGCAAGCATGACGTGTTTTGCGCGCGTCATGCACACACATAGATACAGAAACATGCCATGTCGATTTCTTTTAAATGGAATTAGCCTTTTTGGTGAACCTGATTTCGTTCATATTGTAAATATTCGCTCAACAGTGGCCGGCATGTCTATTTGGCTGAGTGAATTCTCCTTTCTTCCGACTCAATGAATGCAAATGTCATTATTGAGCCATGTAAATGTTGGCCTGCCTCGCCGCCCAGACTCTTTCCCGTCTCTTTAATAGTGACCCAATATATTCCTTACATTAGCCGATTCGAATATCGTCGATGTATATTCAGATTTCGGAATTTGCACATCATTTTTTTGTATGTGTGTGTATGTGTGTGTGTGTGTGTGTGTGTGTGTGTGCTCTTTGTCATTTTGCTGTCGACATTACAACTAAATAGTTACCATCAAGCTATTGTTAATTCGACCCAAAATTCTTCTATATACTTTTGGCATTTGTCACAATATCACAAATGCCAAAATATTTTCATGTAGTTTTTACAAGTTATTTTGTTGTTGTTGTTGTTCGTTTCCCTTTTCTGTCGAATCCCTCAGTCCATCAGACTGATTGTGTGATTCGAATGAATATATGCATGCTGCGTAATTTGATAGCATTGTGTATGTAAATCCGAAAGAACGAACATGAATTTCGGTAAATGTATTTTATCACATTAAGATGAACGCCCGATGAAAGGCGACATAGAAAAATAAAATCAACCGACATGAATATTTCCATTTCATTTGACAGGCTTTCCGAGATTTTTCTATTGAAATAAAAAAAAAATCACATTCGCACTATCGATTTCATTTTGGATGTTTGGCCGTGAAAAACGAGCGACATGTTTACAACTAAGTGCTATACCAATTTCTTTCCATTTTTCATCGACTTCGCCTTTTCTCTCTTAAAAGGATGGATTCGAAATTATTGACACAAGCATTTGATTTCTAATTTTAGAACTTTTTTTCGAAAGTATTCGACATTATATGAGCATTTTTCACATGGCTTATATGGACACTCGATGCTTTTTAGGGACGGATTTCTACAAAACCTGAGTACCTTCTAGATTATATCTGTTCGCACCTTTTTTTCTCAATAGGTTTATCGATGCGATTGTATTAACCGGAATCAAGGTTATTTGTTTAACTGGCTATATCTATGGGCTTTTTTGTAAAAGTATATTTCAGCCATTCGAATGGGTATATGTGCAAACTCAATGTAAAAAGATGGATTGTAGCAAATTTCCGAGATTTCTACAAAAAAAGTGAAGGATCACTTTACAATTCAAAGTTTTCAATGTCTTTCAGGTGTCTGTGTATTCCATAAATTCACTGATTTCCTTGAGGCGTTTCATTCCTACGGTTATTCAACATACAAAGACACTTTTTTTCACTTTTTAATGAATTTGTCTTTGGCAATGTGCAGCCAATTCGTTTGGCATATTTTTTCGAGATATAATGAATGTAATTGGAAATATCATCATTCAATCCATTGAGAATGTCATTTTAATTAAATTCACATAGATACATATGTTCAATACTTCAAACGACTCTTTTTCGCTCTTCGCTCAAAAATGTGAAAAATTGGCTTTAAACTTGATTCAACATTGAACGCATGTTTTTACATTGAAAAAGTACTTTGGAGTGTGAGAAACAATGTTCGTTTCTTTGGAGTGTTTGCAGACTCAAATAACTGAGCATGCATGATTTTCACATTTCACATCACCTCGAATTTTATTTAATTTTAAGTCGTGCCCATAAACCATGTTCAAAGTGAACAACGATGTGTGAAAGTATGTTCGATTGATGTGGCAACATTTCAAACAATTTTCATATCACTGTTTCATTTGCCAATACGAATTGTATGCAAAGATTTTGAAGTTGATGAGACACCTCAACAAACCTTTTTCGTTAAATGGGTGTAAAATTAATTGACAATTTTTGAATGTTACCCATCGCTGAACATCGGAAGAATTCATAAATGTTTCAGTGAAATTTTTCGTTTCTCTTTTCAAAATGATGAAAATTATCCAGAAAGTCTAATTAAAACTTTAACTTTTGCATCACCGATCAATATTAATGATATTCAAAGCACATTGTTTGCCGTTCAATTCTTCGAAATTTTGCACCGAATTTGGAAAATGCGCGCAATAATTTTGGTTGAAGAAATAACAAGCAATGGCTGCACTTGATATTTATACATTTTGAATTTGATTTCATGGAAAAACACATACATTTTTATCAAAAGCTTTTGTACGTAATTCCATATGCCAATGGTGTGAATAGATATTTACCTTTCGTCAATATTCGTATACCATTGTTGGCAATATGATATTTTTTGAACACGTAAAATGTTTACGCATCTTAAATGTTGATAAACTAAAAAGAATTCATGTGTTTGATTTGTTTATTCGTCGAATTATATTCGAAATGTTTGATGTTCGTACACAAATTTATGATTGGATGAAAAACACATACCAAATTCGATTTTTCAGAAACATCCGCACGTCATTTTCGAAGCACGAACCAAAGCGAATAAAGGTTGTGCGAATACGGGCGCATTGGAGCGACGAATGTCGGGTGTTAGACGACAAAAGCATATATCTGGATATCGTAGTGAATCGGCCGATGTCGAAGAAGAACATGCCAACGGTGCTGGACGATACAAACGTGATGTACGCGAAGCAACCAAATACATTGAAACTGCGATAGTCGTTGATAAGGCAATGTTTGAAAAGCGCAACGGTAGCACACGTGCCGAAGTCGTTCACGATGCTATTCAAGTAGCAAATATTGCCGATTTGGTAAGTGTTACATTCACGAAAAACATATAATTGCTTATTTCTTATTTTATTTCCAATTTTCCGTTTTTTTCGAATATTCTTTTGTTTCATTTTTTTTTTCGTCGAAATCAAGATTGAAATTCCAACACGTTCAACCCAAATTGAACGCAAACATATAGCAAAAGAAGGATTAATTTTTGTTTCGCTTGGATACAAGACATCAAACTCAAGCCAAATATTCTCTTCAAAAGTTTCATGAACGAAAACTTTCGGTCCTGTCTCAAAACTCCGCTCGATGATTCGATTTTATTTTGTGGTCTTACGATTTTCAAGACGAATTTTGTCTTTTTATCTGCTAATAATTCCAAGCAATTATCAGCGATTTAATATAGATTTTACTCAAAGGCAGTAATTAGTGTTTGTATCGTCGCGTGAAAAAAAAAAAATCATTCGTGACAAAGTGAAAATGAATCTTTAACTTTGATTATTGCTCAGAGCAAGGTTTGTCGAAAACTTTTCCTTGATGTCTGATTTCTTTTTCTATTTTTCCCGCTATCTTCTTTTCACTTTTTTTTTTGTTGACAACCGAAAATTGGATTCTTCAATACGCCAAAGTTTTGTTTTCAATTTTCGAACGCGCAACCAAAATGAAAGAAGCGAAAAATTGTATGAACATTCTCGGCATGTTCTAAATTCAGTTTTCGCTGGTCATACATTATCAAGAGTCTTTATTGCGAAAATGAGAAAATTCAATATTGTCTCGTGCACGATTCAACATCGCAGCGATTTTGCGATGGTTTCTTTTTTTCCATCATTTGGTGGGGTTCGTTAGTGCAAAAGCAGCAGTGGCAGCTATCGAATTTTATCTAATTAAAGTTCACAAAAATTTTACCCATTTGACAAATACGCGTCATGACAACGGCATTTATTGGGTACGCAACCGCGTCAATTCATTTTCTTTCTCTTTCTCACACACTTTCTGTCGTTCAATCGTTTTTCCCATTTAGTAGTGATCAAATTATACGGAAAAATAACGAAATAAAAGAAATGTAAGAGAGTGCATGAACGAAAAAAAAATCGTGTGATTTCCATTAACGCTGTTTGGGGTGAGTGACTGAAATTCTTTGTGCCAGTTTCACAATAGTACTTTGGCGGTGTTTTTGTCATTTAAGGAACAAGAAAAAAAAATGTTGATATAAAAATATAAAAAACAAAATACGATGCCTGCATTTCATTCTATTTGCAATGAAATTCCAAACAATTTTTTCACTTCCTCTTCGTTCCACCATCGCCGTTAATGTTCGACGAGAAACCAATTCAACAGGGAACTTTTCCAATATTCAACATCATTTGCACAAACGATGCGATACGAATTCTTAGTAAACGCCATTAGCCCGTTTGCTAAGATGAAAAGAAAAAAAGAAATGATGGAACGTGTACAACATGCTTTTGCTAGCCGATGCAAATTCAATTGAATCAGTCCATCCGAACATCGAAAGTATTTATTTTCTATTTTAAGCGAAAAGTTTTTTGGAATTTTATGCTAAACATTAATATTGTTTGGTCTTATTGTTTTGAGTTACATGTTAATCAATTTTATGTATCCGACCAATGATGAGTGTGGCAAAATTGCTCTGAAGCAAACATATTCAATGCGAACATTTCATGGAATTGTTTTTCTTGGCAACGGAACAAACACAAAAAAAACTTTTTCTCATTAACAATTATCGAGTTGTTTTACCCATTTATAATGATTTTCTTTATTCATTCTTATTTTGAATTCCATTCGATTCGTTTTCATTCACTGTAAAACCGAGCTCTATGTATTTTTCTCTTAAAATAAATATTTGTTGCGAATTTATGATAAATTCGCTTTATTTTGTGTTCTTTTTAATGAAAAAATGGTTTTTAAATGTTCATGTATCTGGTTTTCTCCCATGTACACAGTATTTTCGTACGTTGAATACTCGAGTGTCGGTGGTTTATGTGGAAACATGGGGTGGTGCCAATCAAGCACAAATTGATGGCAACAAAGACATCGGCAAAGCAATTTCCAACTTTAATGATTACACGACACGTAATTTATTTAAAGTTGATAAGGATACGACACAGCTGTTAACGTAAGTATAACAAAACCACCAATAACACAATCCATTCCATACAATTTCATTGCAAACATACATATACTGGCGTCAAAACCATCTGTTACTATGTATGTGGACGCGTGTGTGTGACGAGAGTAAATGAACGTTTACCTCAAGGAAGAGGCAAAAAACGCGTCACGACGAAGAAAGCGAACCTAAGTGAAATTCTTAATCCATCGAAACTGTTTAATGAAGAAATTAACCGATGAGAAAGAAAGTTGATGGTATTCTAGATGGAAAAGGTATCAATCATCCGACCGCCTCGTAACTGATTTGATTTCAGCTTGTCAATGTCACATCGTAAATACGAAACCAAATTATTTTTTATTTTGTATTTGCTTCCTTCACTTACTCACTTTTTTCGTGACTAGAATTTTAATCTTCGAAACGTACCTATAAATTCCAATGATTAATGACCAACCAAAGCCCATCGGTGCAACAATGTCTTTAAGCACAATTGTATGGGGAAAAAATCAAAATCTTTTTTGAATAAATATTCATTAGTTACCGAGATATATTTCAAATAAATAATCCATCCGTTTAGGAACTGTTTGTACTCATGGCGGCATCAAATCATTTTTATCTACTAGATTAAAACACGAAACTTTTTTTAAAAAAGCGAGCCATATCAACTGACTGAAAAATGTAACCTGACTATATAATTAAAATCGCTTGAAAAAAAAAATGCTTTTGATGAGTTAAATTGTGATTTCATTCGCTTACTTCTCGCTTGCTTGGATATTTTTTCCCCAGAAGTCGGTTTCCCGACCTAATAGACGATTGTGAATATTGTTTAAATGATGAAAAACGAAGTATCACACGAAATAGAAATAGAACAGATGTATTGTAAATATAGATGCAATGATGGCAATGTGTATGAAAAAAATGTTATAAATTAGTTAGTAAAAAAATTTCTCTTGTATTCCAAGTGGTGAAACGTTTGCCGGTGGTGAAGCAGGCGTTGCTGTGCCAGACACAGTTTGCACCCCGAAAGCGGTCGGCATTAGTGTCGATATAAATGTGTACGAGCCACATTTACTTGCCGGTACCATGGCTCATATGATCGGTCACAATGTTGGAATGAGCCATGACGATGGACGTAAGTGGAATTATTTATTTTATTTTGCTGATGAAAAAACAAATTCCCGTTCATTTTAAATTCGTATTGATTTTTGAAAAACGAATCAATTAGCACTTGGAATCGTTTTAAAAGTGCAATCGCTTGTGGCGATTAGTTTTCAGTAAATTACCGCCATAATTATATAAATTAAACTAAGAATTTAATGCAATCGGCATGTTGTTACAGGTGAAGAGTGTGTATGCCGTGATTGGCACGGTTGTATCATGGCCCAATCGATTGTCGGTTTGGAAAATGTTCAACCGTATAAATTCTCCGAATGCAGTAAAAACGACTATATTGATATGCTGCGAATGTCACACGGTGGCTGCATGATGAACAAACCAAATGAGGTGAGTACTGAACTTTTTCCACATTTTTTCTGCTTGTGTTTCAATTGACTGGAAAATACTCAACATCTCCAATTAGTTGTGCACTTTCATTCTGAAATGTACTTTGAAAGCTTTTCTGCAAACAGTTTTTCCTCTAGTTTTTCTCTTAAATAGAATTATTTTTCATTCAAGAGAGATTTATAAAAAAAAACATTGAATTTCTCTCGCATTTATAAATTTCCAATAATTATAGTTTTATCGTCATTCGTCATTGATCACGATTTGATATTGAACTGCATTCAATTTTTTTCATTTTTCTATCGATTTTTCTCTTCATTTATTTTCACGTGCTCTCACTGAGATTTGCACAAATTCAATTTAAGAGCGAGTTTTTAATCATCAAGCAAACATTATGTCACTTTCGTAGAAAACAGAGCGTAGAGAAGGTTTACTCTATTTAAATTGCTTTCGAAGTAAATCATAAATTATTATGAAAAAGCATATTAAACTAGGACAGTATTCTTATGATTTCTTTCTATTGCTTTTTATCATGATGTGAACAACAAAAAAGTGTTGTCACTTCAAAGTGACCAAAATATTTGAACAATTCGAAACTTGAAGAAAATCCAAGCAAAGAAAATGTGAAGAACAATTAAATTGAAGTTGATTCTTCTTGTCTTTTGTAGTCTATTTCCATAAATCGACCCAAATGCATTTCACATAATGCACTGGAGCGACACAATAAATTTGCATTTTAGATTTTGTTATCCATATTTATGTTGTTTTGAAAATTACGAAAATTGTGTTATTAAAATGGTTGTATGATTTTTGCAGCTGGAAATCGAGCGTCGAAATTGTGGCAACAAGATCGTTGAGGACGACGAAGAATGCGATTGCGGCACAAATGAAGAATGTGAAAACGATCCATGTTGCGACAGTATAACTTGTAAACTAAAGACAGAAGCTGAATGTGCGTCTGGAATGTGCTGTGATAATTGCAAAGTAAGTTTTGTGTGTGTGTTTTTTCTTTAATATTTCGTATGTCAAGTGACATTAAGTAAAGCTTTTCTGGAAAATTGTCTTTCTCATTTTGTGTTCATTCGAGCAGCATTTTTATCTTAATTTTAAAAGCATATAGACCAAAAGATATATGGAAGGTGAACATGAAAAGACGTTTTGTATCTTGTTATAATTTTGATAATGTGTGTATTGTTTTCTTTTGTCGTTATAGCTTCGTGAACGTGGCGTTATTTGCCGTGACGCCCGAAACGATTGTGATATACCGGAACATTGTACGGGCGACAGTGGTGAATGTCCGAAGGATGTGTACAAGAAGAATGGCAACAAATGCGGTGAAGTAAAATCGGCTCTTGGTGAAGTTATTGGTAAGTTCTTGATAAAATGAAATGTGAAATGAAAAAAGGGACAACGACAACAATCGCATACACATCGAAAGAGAAACAAAAGAAAATCCGAATATTTTACGGTGATTTTATTTTCCAAAAAAAGTTTCAAATTTTCGGTAAACTTTGATTTTGATTCGGCCACACTGTTGTTGGTGTGCTTTGGTGCAATCTTGAAGAGTGTGTTCATTGCGTGTGAAAGGACCTAAATTAACCAAACAAAGGCAAAACGAAAATGTCCAGATTTGTTGTTCTTCGTTTCGTTTGATTTTGGCGACATTCACTCCGAAGAAAGACAAACAAATATTGACTTTGCTCTCTGGATCCCCATCTCTTCTTTTCTATCTTTCATTCTTCCATATGGCACATACAAATAAACTTTTGTGCATAGAAACATGAGCACACCCGAATAACTGCTAACAAAACGTGCTTTCTATCTCGTTTCAAATCGTACACAATTCATTTTCGTCTTCGTTGAGTTTTTTTTTTGTTTTGCTTTATGCATTGGTTTTGTTAGTGTACACTGTACACGTGTTTTGTTTTCATTCTTGTATATGAGTCTCAGGTTTTCTTTCTCGGTCAAATAAAAACTTGAAAGTTCAAATAATGCAGCACATCGAGTTGCCGAATACCGTGCATGGATCCATTTAAAAAATAAAAGCGGAGCGGAAGAAAATTTTACGTAATTCATGGGACTTTTGTCTGTCAAAAGCATCGAATGCCCTTTCTTCATTCTTTCATATACTCTGTATTTACCGAAAATCTCAGTTGCTGTTTATTTTAGCGTTTCTTTACTTGATTCCATTCATTTGGCACAGTGTAGCAGTTTTCGATTCAAATCTGTAACATCTATCTTTTGCCGACCAAAAACGTGTTTGTATGTGTATGTACACATTTGTCTTGGTCTATGTATCCAACATTGACTCTATTTGAGCGTAATTTGTTTGCTACTTTTCTTCATTTCATTGAAAACAACCATCCATTGTTCATCTGTCTGTTTTTGAATGTCGAAATAACTGTTTTATGAGCTCTTGAACATGTATTGTTCCTATGCGGGGTTGGAGAAACAATGCAAAACCATAATTCAACAGCTGAATGTTGAATATGTTGGTTGATCCAGACTTTTCGATTCAAACTAATTGTGAATTGTTTTTGTGGAATTTCGCTCGAAAAAGCAATTTTCTTTCCATTTATTTAATCATATTAAGATGTTAAATTCACAACGATTCTACGTCAAAAAGTACACTCTAATCATGAAGCTATTCATCTAAAAACCCAGAGATATGGTGTTGTCAAGTGAGACAAAGAGAAAAAGTGGCATTCACCTTCATCGTTTGGGGTTGGAATTGAGAGCGTGTATACTGTATATAGTGACGGAGATGCCTCGGTGACGGATGGATTTATTTTGAAATTAGGTTATTCAATAAGCGCAAATATTTGTGTAGTTTAAACAGATTTTCCGATTCGGTTTGGTCATGAAAATTCGCATACAAAACGAAAATCATGAATTGAATCTAATCTCAAAATCGCCCGCTGTTCATGAAAATGGACGTAAAATGTGATGAAACACACCCATTCAGTCAACCATATTCACTCGTATAATGTTTAAAATATTGTAGAGCAACGAAAACGATTCAATTTTAGAGTGAATTGAAAAAGAAAACGAAAAAAATTTATCTTTTCCGCTGTTGCTTACTGAAAGCGTTGATAAATTGAACGACTTACAATGCGCCCAGTTTGAACATTAAGCAACAGTAAGATGGAAAAAGAAAGTGCAAGAATGAGATGTGGAAAAAAAAACGATGAGTGAGAAAATTTGGTGAAATGCTGTGCAATGAATAACAAATTCGATTCCTTCGTTCAACGAACACCACTTTTTTTTTTCGCACGCAAAATGACCAATGAGAAGATGGAAAAAAAGTGAAGCAAAGCGAGATGGACGAAAGTTTCCGAAACACATCATCATATGTCGAAAGCACGCAGGACTTGCTTGTATCGTTTTCCGTCTCATCTTCAACTATCGGAATGTGAATGCTGTTCGGTGCCCAGCAATCGCTCTATTTTTCTTCTCAGCATTGTCGCCTATTTCACACAGTCACCATGTACATCATGCAATTGCATCGAAATTTATGTCTGCTGTGACTGTAGCTCTCCCATCGGTCCTGCATTGTCTGATTACATGCATGCTGTGCACGATGCCCCTGTATTTGGCAACTTAACAATAACAAACCAACAACAAATAATCAATTCCTATTCTATGTATCTGGCGAATTTCCCTTCTTTCACATTTTCTTCGTGCAAGATTTTTTTATATTTTGTGTGTGTGTATGTGTGCTCTCTCGATAAATCTGGTATTTGGAAATAGTGTTCGAGCAAAAGTTTATCTGCACTTCCAAGATATACTAGCAAGTCGAAGGAAAACGAACGAACGAACAAAGAAAAAAAAGCAACGAATGATGCAGAGAGTACGGACAGAACAAGTGAACAAAATATTAAAGGAAATGAAGCAAAATACAAAGAAAAGAAAGCATAAAAAAGTGAGTGAGAGAAAAAGAGACAAAAAAATAGCTAGGGAGAGCGAATACTGTGTGCATGTTTATGCGCCGCCGAACGAAAAATCGATGCTGGAATTCTCTACTAACTTAAATTGCGTGCATACAGGTTTTGGCATACAGCTACATTGAATAAAAAAAGACATACCAAACAATAGTCCGAACATTGTTAGTAACATCCGGATTTTCGGTTTCGTTTGTATTTTATTTTCTCTCTTCCTTTCACGCTCTGTTTCTCTTCTCTGAGAAATTCTAACTCCCTCTCCCCCTCTATATCTCTGCCTCTGTTTCGTTTTCTCTTTGCCGTACAATTTATTAGAAAGTGCTCGATCTCAATACCGAATGTTGGGCGACTTTTACATATGTCATGACCATCACTACTGCATCTTCTCGAATAAGATGTTAGTTGTCGGATTAAAATAATGAGAAAAATTGTTGACGCACTTGATAAAAGTTTCTGTTTGTCAACGTACCACTATTGCGTATACGATTCTCTGCCTGCATCATCCCATGCAAACCGATAAGACTCATCCAAATGAGTCACACAACTTTGTAACTAGGTGCAACTATAAAGAAACACACAACTTTGCATCGAGAAAAATTTATACACACAAACATCAGAGTTGTTTATTTTAAATTTCGAAACGAGCAACGCGAACGCACAATCAGACAAATGCAATGAATTAGAACTTTTTGTACACTTTAAATGTTTCGGAACGAAACACGGTGAAAGTTTTGCTCGTGCAAACTCATCTCGTGTTTATCTTTGTTGCAACGGAGATTTACAGCACCGCCAGCACTTGCACTATCTCCATCCAAGACCCAACGTTATATTATTACAAAAATCACGATAAGGATTTTTTTTGTAGTGCTTGATGTTCGAAGCAAAAGTTCTAGTCGAGAAAATAAAAGGTGTAAATCGTTAGATCTATTTACCGTTCATCTTCTGCTTTTTTCGCTTCAAGTGAAACGTTTTCATTTCGAACTTTGATGAGTGTCCAACTTTCTTTCGTCCAAATTGAATGCACCAAAGCACAGGAATGTCAAACTCTTTGTTGATGAAAATGGTGTCGATGGTAGTCAAACTAAAGAGGACATTGGAACTTGAATGATATATCATTTTGAAATTGAGTGACTATTATTTTGCCGTATTTTCACGCTATTCATTCAAGAAAATTAACATCTCTTTGCTAGAACGAATTTTCGTTTTTTTTCCCTGAGGAAATGATGAGCCATAAAATGTGGAATATTTCCCTTGTTTATCCGCTCGCAAACGTTTCTCAATCGAAAAAGTATAAAAATTCAACCGGTGGATGATAAAAGCAGGTCGTATTCATTTGAATTACTCAATATATCGAGTGGATTGAGAAAACAGGCGGATTACCTTTAAGATGGCAATCAGTTTTACTGCAAGATGCACTCTGATTTATAACGTCATTTGAAGGCACAATTTTCATTTAAGCCGTTTCCATTTTGTCTTAATGAAACGAATAATACAACGATTCCAATGTTTATAACTTTATATAAATTCTACTTAATTCACTGCACACAATTTGTAGCAATAAAAACTGAATGAATTAACGACCATTAGAAGGATTAAAATAACACAATTTAATTTCAATAAGTGTGCGATTTTCCATCCGAGAACAAAAATATATTTATCTGTGGAAGACTGTGTATTTTTTTATTTAAATCTTATTTGCATTGAATCAATGGAATACACGATTGAATAGATAAATTCAATCTTTTACTGTGTGAAAACCAAAAATCATTTGTATGTATGTATAGCTAAAAAATGGTATTGTCTTTAAGATTTTGCTCTCATTATTGGTGAAACCATAAACTGGCATGCAAAACCTATACGTATTCATCGAAAATGATATTTTTTCCAACAACCGCAACACACAAAGTACAATCTGCATATAAACCAATGGTAATAAAATCAACCATTGAATGTGTATCGCCCTGGCGAATATCGTTTTTTTTCTGTGCAAATTTACTGTCCAGCAATTTGCTTGGTGAATATTTAAAGCTCAATTTTGGAAGGCGTACAACAAAATGAGAAATAAGTAAGAAATGAGGGCAACAATCAGCTCGTGCAATATCAAGTTGGTGTGTCTGCAGGCCATTTCTGTCTCTATAAATATCTATTAAAATGCTTGAATTTATTGTCGACCAAAAACTTTACAAGTGATTTAACCAATAAATTGGAGCGTCCTTTTTCCGAAACGGACAAAAACATAATGAATTATGCTAAAGGATTCAAATGGTATCAGTTAAACTGCTACAATTTGTGTGTGTGTGCGTAAGAAAAACAGAGAGTAAAGCACTTCCATCTAATAAGAATCGTGCATTTTATTAGATGGAATTGCGAAATGTGCACAAATTAACACAACTCGGAAGGCAATACACTGTGTCCAATCAAGATGAACATTAAATGTTTTCTTTTTATTTCGTTTTCAGCTGAAGGATACTGTTTTAATGGCGAATGCCCAACATTGGATGGGCAATGTGAAAAAATTTGGGGCTACGGTGGTATGTCGGCTGATGAACAATGCTTTGACCAATTCAACACGAAAGGTTCCATCAATGGTCATTGTGGAAAAGACAACAATGGCGACTATAAAAAATGCGAACTTGAGTACGTATACAAATGACCACGAAATATTTGGTGAGCCGAAAATGGTTCAATGTGTTTTTTCTCTTCTTGCAGAAATGTGAAATGCGGTTCATTACAATGCAAAGATGGCGATCGTCATCCGAATATAGCCGGTTTGGATCAGATGAGCTCGAAAACAGTCATATCAATCAAAGGAGTCGAGTATGAGTGCAAGTGAGTTAAGACATTGTGAAAAAAAGACGTTTTTGTTCGGTAAATCATAAACGATAATTTGCAGAACGACCAGTGGACCTGCGGTGTCTCGCGAGTTCACCGAACATGGTTTGGTGCATGATGGAACGCCATGTGGTAAAAGTTTGGTTTGTGTCAATCAAACATGTGTAAGTTTATTTCCATACATTGACCAAACAAAATGTCCAACAAGCGCCAACAACATCGAATGCAACGGCGAAGGAGTAAGTTAAATCATATTTTCAATCAATTGTTTATTACATTGAAAAATAAATCGAATTTTTTTTTTATTAGGTGTGCACAAATATGAATCGATGTTTTTGTAATATGGGCTTTGGTGGGCCGGATTGTTCAATCGTTATACCGGTGACTACATCAGCACCAACTGACGCCCCACCGGCAATCAATAGTGAAATTTCATATGAAAAGAAAGAAACACCATATGGTAAGCGATTTGGGACCATTGGTCGCCAATCAATTGAACTACTTTTTCGTGCGTCACTTTTCAGGAATTTTTATTCGAAATCAATAAAACAATTTTCTTTCCCAAATGAAACAAAAAAAAAAAAAAAAATAATGAAAAAAATAATACAAAAACGAAACTCAAATGACAATGGTAATCAATTTTTGCAATCAGAGCCCATTTTTCCGTTGAATTGTGTTTTTCTTTATATTAGACGAATGCGACCAAAAAGAGTTTCTGTTTTCCACATGAAATCATTCATTCTTTGTTACATTTTTTTCAACCTTTCATTTTGATTCATTCCATCCAAGATAAAAAAAGAACCCTTTTCAAGTGAATATAATTACATTTTTGTGGTTTCAAGTAATTGATAGTTTTTTGTGATTTATTGAATAGTATTCGACATAAATACACATTTGGTTAGATTGAAGAATGGAATCGTTAGATAATGATGGTTCACAGTTTATTGTATCTGCGCAACGCAAATGAAGATGATAATTACCGCGGATTTATCGTTAAAAAAAAAAAAACTTTTTTTTTTGTTACTTACCATTTAATTTAACCTCACGATTTGTTCTACACGCAGAACCCGCCAATAAGGATAAGATCTCGACATTGCAAATGGTCATCATTTTAGTGGTTATATGCAAATGTGTCTTCTGTAGTTTTGCATGTATGGCCATCTGCTACAGGTTGGTAGAGACAATATAACAGCTAACAGATTATACACTTACTCTGTAAGATGTGACGCGCGTCGATCCAATTTTATGTCTATCTCACTATCTCTTTCTCTATTTCTGTGTCTATATTATACATATATTGTGTTATTGTTTTTGAGTGCGTTTGTGTCTGTGTATGTGGCGTGGGTTTGATCATTCTGTGTATGTGCTAAAGTGAGTAATAATTACTTGAGATTTATACGGTTGTATTACATTCTATTCGTACATTCAATTTCATTCTATATATTCTTTTTTCCATGCTTATACCATAATTTTCTGATAAAGGATAACATATTCAAACAAGAAATGATGTACATGTAAGACAATATATGTCAAAGAAAATAAAGAGGTCCGGCCATTTTATGGTTCAATCTGCACGTTCAAATACTTCTGAAGTCGTTTCAAGGGACGAATATATTTATCATCTTTCGTATTCATATTACTATATGGGAGGCTGTATAAATGAAGGAACCAAGGTTACCTGTATTAATTAGAGTCAAATTTCTCTTGCATCACCTTGAGAAAATTAAATCCCCCTTTTGATGGATCAAATAAGGTCTAGACAGATTGTCATTATAATTACAAATATCATTTTTGTCTATTCAATGAAAAGGAAGCGAAGACATTTTTTTTATTCACTTCTTATTATTTGAATACAAATTGCTGTGTGTGTGTGTGTGTGTGTGTGTGTGTGTGTGTGTGTGTTTGAGTATTTGCGAGGATTTGAATTTCACAAATGTATTTCGCGCACAAAAGTTTTACTCTAATGACTGTGTGTGTGAGTGTGTGTTTGTTTATGTTATTTCGCGACGCCTACACGCTTTTTTTTAAGTTTGACCATTGTTGTTGATTGTCTAGAGAGATTTGTGGTAAATGATTTTGTTTGATATGTTTGTACATTACCATTGAGCTGATGGAGGTTTTTTCGGTTCGAATTTATCTGTGACCGCATTGGTATGTGAAAAAAATGTAAACTTTTGCACATTGTGCCCGTGCCAATGCGGACCGAAATTCAGAACAAGGCAAACATTTGATTGGCTTAGAACAGGTAATTTCCCAAACAATTTAAAAAAAAAAACACTTTTTCGGAAAAGCTTCTAAATTCGTAGAAAATGTCCAATTTAATTTCAATTCAATGTTTCTACTGTGAAAAGCCAATCAAATGTTGTTTTTATGATCGATTTCGAACATTTTTTTAATATTAAACGTAAAAACTGTGTGAATTTACTGCTATATATTCGTAATATTGATTTGTACATTCATATATACTCACTGTATTGATAACAAAATTTATATTTACTATTCACATTGCCATGGGTGGACACGATATTTTTTGTTTTGTTGTTTGAAAAGTTTGAAATGACTGATTGCGTTGCATTTAACTGTTTTTTTTTTGTTTCGTTGGGTTGCTCGGTGTGTGCTTTATTCGTATATATCTTTAGTCGATAAGGCTTTATATATTTTTTGTTTACTCTAGCGCAGTGATCGGTAAAAAAAACCTCGAAGTAAATAAATTTGGCATGGTATTTAATAAAAATTGATAGGGATGGCGATATCGAGTGAATTAGGATTGTTTCAACTTGTTTTTCTAACTCGTGTTCGTTCGCCATCAAATTTATTAGGTTGAAAAAGTTTTCACTAAATATGGCTGGGCAAACGAAAAATCAACGAATTCTGAGAAAAAAATAAATAAATCTGAAATCGGCACACACATCACACTAATGCAATTTATGAAATTGAATCGAAAAAGCAAAATTGCCAAAAAATACAAATGTATGTACTATGTAGTCGTCGCCTCTCGAAATCATCATATGATGAGTTGGGATGGTATATGTTTTTTTGTCTATTCGGGTTTGGTAACAAGTGGGAAAAAGCGCATTTGGACACATATTCAAATGTGAAGTTGATTTATGGTTTTCCGAAATAAAACACAAACAAACCGCTAATGGTTTGCTACCGACTTCGTTTGCATAAATTTGCAAATATGATATTCAAATTGGAAGCGTATTTTTCGACATGTTTTACACGCATGCAATCATGTTCAGTTTGTAGCTTGCTCCTTTCCATCGACACAAATTAATCTAAACATTTGAATGTGGCGTAATTTCGGTATACGCATAACATTTTTCGATTATTCAAATTTTCGGCACACACACACACACACACAATAAAAATACGCCAAGGAATATGAGTGTGTGGCACAATAAACAACCGAACGACACAAAAAAATGTGTATACTGTATGCATTCATTATTATGCTTAGGTCGAGCTGTAAATTTTAACCAAATGTGTGCATCATTATCAAGATTTATGAGTATAGGAATGAGCGGTGTAATAAAAACAAATCAAATATCACACACAACTCGAAAACATCGAGAGTCTAGTTAACACACAAAAAAGAGCCACCAATCGCGTCCATGGCAAACAAAATGGGATTGGTGTATATTGGTGGTGGTGGTAATAGTGTGAATGTTCGCTGTGACGATTTATATGTAAATGAAATCAGGAATTATTTATTTTGCTTTTCAAAATACATAATAATCGTAATAAAACTTTAGTATTCAATACACTTTGTCTACAATTCGTAATTTTGTCGGCAATGGGAGAAGCGCCACAGGAGACAAACGCATTCATGCCCCGCGTATCAAATATGAATGCGATGTAGTAGCAGGAGTATAGGACAATAATATTTAACTTTATTAATGCAAAAATTGTGATGGCAGCAGAGTAATTTGATGGAAATTTGCGAGTTTCGTGCGACAAACGATTAAAATATTTGCTTTCAACTTGATGTAGGTGCGGACCTAAGAGCAAGCATTGGCCAATATTTGTAATGCAAATTTGCATTGAAATTAATTTGATTATTTCTACCAAATTTATATCTATCACGGGTGTCCACTTCCAAAATAAATTAAATCTAAACGCTTTCAGTTCTTTTGAATCAATTTTTATTCACTTGATCAAATCATTTAATTGAGTTGTTCGATGCACATTGAAATTTTTCTTTCAACATGAAATCAACTTATTTTATTCACGCAGAGGAAACAAGTTTAAATGGCATCTCATGTTTATTTGGAAAATCGACGTAGAGAAAAAAATAGGCGGAAAAAAATGAAGCATTCCCTAGGGATAAATATTAGCCAGTGTATGTCATTCATTTTATTTGAACTGTGACGCTAATGCAATTCCATGAAAAATTGATATGAGGGCTTCTTGAGACTCATGATTTGATGTTTTAGCCCAGTCCAGCAGAAGAGATGTTTGGTTTGTTTTCTGATTGGTTTTGTGTTTTTTATGAGAGTTCTCGTCATCGCATTTATACTTGAGAAGAAGAAAAAGCCCGTAGAATTTGAAGAAATGTTGCTTAATTTCGTTGTCGCTCTGAATTCACATTGGGTACGCAAAGAGTAAATATTTTCTTTTTAGCTGTTCCAATCGCATTTATTGGATACAACGCCGTATATTCGTTGAATTTGTTTATTTTTTAGTATTTTTGTGTTAGAGATCAAAGGGAAAGCATGAAACAAAAATGTATTTTCCAATTTCAAATGTATCGGCTTTTTCGTACCATCTACAATATAATTCCCGGAACATGAGAAAAAAGAACCAATACCAAAACCATTGCATACAACAAAACATTTCATACATTAAAGAAAACACCGATTTTTTTATACATTCCAAAAAATCCATTTCAATTCATACATTCATTCACAATTTACATTCGGTAGCAAGATACATTTTTTTTTTGAAGTAAATATATGAACATTAAAAGTGACGCATTTTAGAATGAAAATGCCAAATGCTGTACGTTTTTATAATTTGAATATTGTATCCTGTATTAAATTAAAACGGAAAAAAAATGATTTTATGTATTTTAAAAAATGTTCTTAAAAAGAGATTACCATTGTCATGGAACATATCGATATATAATCAAATTAATGAATCTTGGCAATCATTATTTGGAAACAAAAAAATAATAATGGGGACAATTAGCGTTCAAACAGAATGAAAAAAGAAATTCTCTGTGATGAAAGAAAATGTTTCATGCTCCAAATTGGAAATGTCAGCTAATTAAATTAGCATGTAGCCTTCAGTCGAACGTCGTCGAAAAAAAAAACACAAATTATTTGGAATCATTGTCGTTCTGCCAAATGGAAAAATGCATAATTGGAAATCATCTCATTTGGTCGATACCATGACGTTCCACTGAAAAAATACAATGCAAATAACAAAAATGTTTGTTGCAAAATTGCAATCGTTCAAAGTAGAATGAAACGCAAAATGATGTAGCAATCTTTTGCTTCAATCAATCAGATAATTTAAACGATAACCAAAAAAAAAACATTGTGGTTTTTGCTTTTAAAGAAAACTATCACGGTTCGAATACGATGTTTCTGGTCGGTGTCTTAATGTCGGTCGTTGGATTCGTATTCGTAACATTCACGCTAATGGCGTTGTGCTACCGATCAGTTGTTGTCCATCGTAACTTCACACTGTGTCTAAGGTTAGTGCAATATCATTAACATACTGCAATGACATTTTCTACATTCTTTTTATTTAGTTCAATAATTTTAATTTTCGTAAAACAACATTATTTCGTTCTTTTCTAAATAAAACAAGGTAAATGAGCCACATGAATTTTTGTATTTTTTTTTTTTTGAATCAATTTTATTTTGTTCAGTTACGTATTACATGAACACGTCTTTTTGTTTCCGAATTTCCATAGAAAAAAAAAACCATCAATGTAGCAAATGAACAACATTTTGTTCGATTTGTTTATTTTGTCGCATTTTTCCATTTTCTTTGAATGTTTCAAAATCGATTTTAGATCAATCGTCCATCTGCATTTGCTTAGTTATTACATGTGAGATTCGATAAATTCGAATCACCACTAATTGAATAGAGTTGTTTTTGTTTTCATTTTATTTATCGAAAATAAGAATAACAATTCGAACCAATTGGAAATGCTATTGCTGTAATAATATGCCTTTGCTTTTATACATCAAAATTTTCACATCAAATCGAACACATCGGAGTTTACTCCCAAACACTGATTTAGTTCAAATGCATGCAATTTATTTCTCCTTTTTGCAATAGCAAACGATGTTTCGTTGACGTCGACGAATAACCTCGATAAATGTAATAGAGAGTCTTTTTGGGTTATTGAAAAGGTCATGCCAATCAAATAACACATTTTCATCAAGTTCGTAGCATAAAACGATTGAATTCAATAGAATGATTGAGCTACAAACAAAAATGCAAATAACACACATTTCAGCACTCAACTAAATCAACATTTACAAAAGCATCTCTCATCGAAATTAAACACACATAAAAAAAACGAAAACTGCAGTCGAAGCCCATCGATTTTCACATTTTTTTTCTTTTCCTTTTGAATTTTTTGAGTTCAGCATGTATATCTGTTTCAGTAAATGGTCTAGAACAAATCGAAATGAAGATGAACTTTGAACAATCATTGATGTTTGTAGTTCGTCAATTTTCTTTCAAAGCTGATTGTTCAAATGGTAAATTGGCATTATTGAAGTAAAATTCATCGAATGAGTGTCTACTTGAAATTATCTTAAATGCAATGCAACTATGCAATAGCCATAAGCTCGGAGTATTTTGTTGAATTACCAGCATATAAATATGGGCATCAGAGATTTACATTCACAAAAATGCCAAACGAAGAGCCGATCATTGGAACGGTATTTAACTTCGAACGAAATGAGAACGAGAGCGGATAGACGACGGTCGGATACCATCTAGAATACGCAAATAATACATACATAGTTATTGTTGAGTGCTTAAGCCAACACTTGAGTTTACATGTAAATTGGGTGCTTTTGTCTAGCGCTCTCTGTTCATCGCTTCTAATAATTTCGATACATAAATGTTCACTCAAAAGCCGAGGCCAAAATGTTGTTCGACCACAGCTTCTTGTTTTGTTTGTTTAGCCTGAGAAAACAAAGCGTTTTTTTTTAATATCGAACGTACCGTATAAACTCTTCTCTTTCTCTCTCTCTTTCATTTTCGTTCGTTCACTTTCACTTTGACATCGTCTTTGTTGTATTTGCACTAGTGTTTGTATTTGTGCGTACATAAATTTTCCATTTGTGGCTATGTTCAGCAATGGCCAAAAAGCGGTATGGATACGATCGGTCTCTCATAGTCCTACTCCCTTTTTCTCTCTATCCCAGTCTGCCTGCCAATTCAATAGACAAACAAGATTTGCACAAATATTTTGTGTGAATGTACGCGTATCACTATTTATATGTACAGTGCGACCTCGATTATCCGTCACCTCTGTTAACCGTCAGTCGTAAAAACCGGGAGTATACATGATTTTGTTCGATTTTTTCAAGACAACTTCACAAGAAATCTTTTTCGATTATTCGTCAGAGCAATCGCGGCAGCACTGTATATCGTAAACCATGGAAAATATAGGTTGTGTGTAAGCCATAAGCATTGAGAACATTTTCAAAGGATTCGACAAAAACTCTTTCCAATGAATCTTGTTGTGCGAATTCATATCCAAATATAAATTAGAAACCATTTGTTTGTTCAACATTTAATTTTGTATGCAAAAGCATACAATGAAAACGAGTTCACCGCATGCAAAATGCGTAAATGGTAAACGAAGAACACAAGTGAGACACACTAAGAAAAGAACGCAGTATAAACACAACACAGCGATTCACAAATGTGAAAATATCTTTGGATTTTCGAAATGTTTTATCCGGATTTTCTAACGAATGTGTTCCGAATGTGTTCAAAAATTGTGCAAAGTCATCGAGATTTACACAATTCAAAATGGCCAAAGTGCACAAGAAACCATCTCCAATTTTTCGAGTCGGCCAGTTTGAATCCGATTCGAGCATTCCTCTCTAGAGACTCAAAGCAACCACTTAAGACATTTTCAAATTACAATTGGAAAATTCACATCCATAAATTACGTCCTTTCATTCGGCAATTAGTGTGTTCAAAGTGAAATCCGCTTAACTGGTTCCACATTTTTGGATAAATATGCATTTTAATTTGAATGTTGCATCAGGCTTGAGTGTTTAAGTTATAACATTTGCAAATTTTAGCGAAAATATTTTAACAAACTGATAAATACATGCTGCACCGTAATTAGGCGACTGCGCTTGAATCAAATAATTACCTTCGCTGAGTTTATGCAAACAACAGCCAAAAATAATGATGTCGGATTTGTGTATTGTTTGCAAACATGTGTTTTCTACAAGTAAAAGGTATTAAAATTAGTTGCACAACATTTTAGGCCGCGTGCCTATTAAAATCACATAAAAATCTAAAATAACATTCAGCACTGCTGTTTGTTGTTGACGGAAAATTCAAACAATTGAATTGTGCGGTCACACGCTAATCATTTTGGAGCTCACATTGTCCAGTGGGGCCACGGTATTAAGCTGCTGCATGTGGTTCATCTGCCTCAATACCGAATTTTCAATCAACTATTACCATCAGCGCTGAATAAAAACACACATAGATGAGTTGATTATTTTTTTTAAATATACAGTATACTGAAAAATTGTTCATTGTAATCCAAAACATGTGGGTATTTCATCATCGTCACTGGCTGTTGTTCACATGTTAAAGCCAGGCTTTGCAATTAACGGGATTGAATAATTTAAATCATAATTATATTTAAGTTCAAAAATTTAATACGCGATTCAATCAACGATACTGTACCATCAACAATTCCTATTGAATTCGATCAGCTAAAACTAAATGACATTATGCAAACCAAAAGCTGGTTTAACATTTCAGAACCGGATGCAACCATTCATTTTAACCATAAAAAGCTTTTATAATCACTTCATTTTTGGCAAATAGTTTCTTTGCCGAATTTCCTAATGGATGCATCTCGCTACCACGATCACACATAAATATGCAGACTGCCGTTGGGAAACTTTGAATATAACATTCAAAACGCAATGCAATGCACTGTGCATGCCATACATTCAATGAAATTACAATCTATAGAAGCTTTTTTGCTGCAATCCAAACTTTCGTATTCATGGGGTGGATTTATAGCTGAGAAAACAGTAAAATTGAGGGCTAGACAAATAAAATGAAAATGAATGAGCAAAGAAGAAAAAAAAACACACAAACATCGACCGAGGCGCAGATTTAAAATTAGAATTAATTAAAATGTTTGTGTGTTTGTTTGTGTGAAGATTTAGTTGGTTATACTTTCGCGTTATGCGCAGATTTGGTCAATACGTTAGAATACTGTAGCACTGTATTCAGTATGCAAATTGATTCAAGAAGAAAGAGGCGGCATTATAAAAAAGAATGCTTGAGTAAACCAAAAATCGTAATGGGAGATAATAGATCGAGAAAAAAAACACAGCCTTGTCGTTAGCATGCCCAACAATAAAACGTGTATCTAGGGCGGAAAAAAAAAGATTCGCAATGAAAGAGAAATATGTATATATGCGGTGGGACACAATGTAGATCTGAAAAACATTATTCGGTTGAAAATTAAATAAAAACGAGATATAAATTAAATGGTCGGATAGATACGTTGTAGCGATGGTGCTGTGATGATGTTGATAGTTCGAGGCAAAAATAACATAAGCTCAATTCTGTTAATTCAGTCAGGCTGGTTGTGTAGAGAGCGCAAAAAATGTATAATGTATATGTATGAAAAGCACCCACAACACTATAGCGTGAGAGAGCATCATCATCATTACGAACAATAACACCCGAACAACCACCATCATAGAGATATGATCCTTTACAACGCGACTCGCACTATGCACGGCACCGGCGGTGGTGGGGGTGTTGACAACATTGAAAGCATGAGCGTGACAACGAAAGAGTGTAAGCGCGTGAGAGAGAGAGAGATGTATACAACGAAGAAAAAAAACCATTTTAATTATGCGACTTTAGTGGTTATGCTGCAAGGCAACAACACAGAAACAGCGAACGGTTCTTGCAGTTGGTGAATAAATACAAACACTAAACAGTTTTTCATCTAATTCAACTCGTTTCGATCGAGGTTTTTCCTTCTCATCATCAACAGAGAATTCCGTTTCTCATTTTCCGGGTTTTGTGTCTGTTTGCTTGCTGTTTTAACTCTGGCAAAATGCTGTGCATTAGTGTGCTGGCGGTTCGGTGTGTTTTTTTTTTGCTTGTCGCGAAATACACACATTTCCAGTGTGTAAACAAGTTTTCAAACAACTACCAAACAACATTTAGCAGCAGAAAACTAACATTCATTTTAAAACAATTGTACTCAAGCACATCTTGTTGCCACTTTTCGTTTGTTTTCATACTTGTTCTGGATTTTTTTATCCTTTCTCGCTCTCTCTCTCTCTCGCTCTTGTTTTTTGTTCGTTTTTCACGATCTCTAGCATTTGCACTGGCGCTTTGCTTACTTACTTTTTAGCGCTTAGATATAGTTTAATGTCTATGGAGAATGCTCAATGCATTCTGTAATGATGTAGTATCAAATTTTGTCATAATACATTTTTCAGATCATTCTGCTATGTGCTCATATAATGTGAGGTGATTTTTTTTTGTTAAATTAATTTTTTCTGGATTTCATTAAAATCCACTTAGCAGGATATCAACATACACAAGAAGAATGTATTTTTATTTCAATTTTCGGGCATTTCGAAGGGTGAACTATTTATAAAAAGTTTCCGCAATTTAATAACCATTCAATGCATGCAAAAATTTTCCATTGAAAAATGTTCAAAATACTGGAAAAAACACCTACATACAAAACTAATTACATACTCACTACAAATACGGCCGAAAAAAAGAAGAATATATGCACAATTTTTTTGTGATTTAATTGCATTTCATGTAAATTCTATTTCCTTTGAAATGTTCATTTGCATGTCGGGTTACTAGTGCGTAGCGAGAAAAAGAGAGCATATGAACCGCATAATTGAATTGAAATTGAATCTATGTTTGTATGCACGAACTTTTTGTGTTGTTGTTGTGTTTTGTTTTATTTTATAGTTAGTGAATCAGAGTGAAAAAATTCATTCAAGCTTTGCACTTATCAACCAAAGCTAGAGAGTATTAGCAGTGAAATTTATAATTGAATGAGTAAGGTTTGGATTTTAGTGATCACCTCCAGTGATTCTCTTCATTATGTAAAAACAATATAATTGGATAGAAATGTCACATCATATTCATAGATTTTTTTTTCTTCTTTCTTTTCATTTGATAATAAAATGACTTTTTTTCTCTCCATTTTATTGTGTCTCCTTTTTGAAAATATTTTCAAACATCAATTTATATGAACTCTAATCTCAACCACCGTTTCATGAAATTACAAAATCATGATGGACTTTGGAACTTAAAGAAAAACAACAAGAACCAAATATGACCCACCATACATTAAAAAGCCAATCATCAAAGGAGCTGGCAACTCCAACCATGTTTCGGTTGAAGAAGTTTCTTTGGACGGATCAAATAAACTAATTACATACGGTAACACATTCAGGTAAGTGAACGCGATTCAGCTTGATTGTTTAAAAAAAATCTGGAAACAAATTTTCTTCACTTGATTCGAAAAAATGTGGTTCTGACTAAACCAGTTTTATTATAAAATTTATTATTTTTTATTTTTTGAGCTATTGTGAATCGGATTGATTTTCTACTCTAGAGGAATTAATCATTCAAAATTGAAGCTACTTTCCCTCTTTAGCAACTCAAAAAAGGGTGCATTTTTTGTATGAAAACGAAATTTTTCGGCAAACAATAAAACTCATGCAAAAACCTGTTTGTTCCATAAATACGAAATTGAACCATTTACACGACATGAGCACGATTTACTCATGTTAATAATTATTTGTTTAGTTGAATGCTATATATAAATGAGCAATTATCACAGAACTGAAGAAACGTGTTCCATATCTGTGTTCAATTGATTTCAGTTTTTGTATGTTGTTGGACGGTGATTAAAATGTTTTTACATTCATGAAATTACTTTTTTTCGGTTTATGCCGATTCTGCAGATGGCAAGAACATTTTGGTAAGTCTCAATATATTGATTTAAAAATAAAAAAAATATTATTATAGCAATAACAACATCAATTTCGTACATGTCATCATTAAAATTGAATATCTGTTTACAGAAGCAATTAAATTAAATGAACAACAGAACACTTTTGACAATACATTGTTCAGAACCTTAAGTTTATGATTACATCGAAATGGTAATTAAAAAAAAAACCTTGAGTGAGCACACGTGGTCATTGCATTTGCACTTGTACCGGTGTTAAATCGATGTAAACGTTTGAAATTGAAAAAGGCGAGCAAGGCTGCAAATATGTCAGCAAAAGTGTAATTATTTTCTGTTAATGAAGAACTGATATTCCGTGAGAAAGAGAGGAAAAATCACTTTCAGATGACCATCCGATGCTACTGATGGCACTCTTTTATGCAAATGTGAAAAAGCAATTATTTATTTAAATTGATTTCATTTTACATAGAGATGGGGATGCTCTTTTCTTCACATTCGACGTCATTTACAGTTTAATTATTATTATTTGTTGTTGTGCATGTGAATACAGTTCAATTTCACATTGACGATTATTCAAAATTAATCAAAGTATGAGAGAAAAAAACAGCATCGCTTTAAATAGCATTTAAAGTATTATCCGGTGCCAATGTCGTTACATCGGCCACTTGACACTGGGGAAAAATCAGTTGTCGCTAATTAGTCGCATTGATAACAGTAATATTGAAATTTTTTAATTTAATTCCGCCTGGGTTACGTCACGGATTTTAATAATTACGTTTTCATGTTGCAACAATCAGCAAATCTCATTTCGGTTGAACATCGAATAATTCGAATAGATTTCGTTTTTTTCGTTTCAAATCGATGATAGCCAATTTTGTACAAACTATGTTCACTGATAATCTGATAACCGATAATCATATTTTGGTGTGTAATTAGATACAGCGCTTAAAACATACATATTATGTGGGTTTTTTTTGTTATGCAACACATAATAATTAAAATTATTTGTTCAGTTTTCTGTTCCTATTGATTTTGTCGGTTGATTATGTGGCACCACATCGAATCAAATGAAAAATATAATACGAAATAATTTTTTTAAAATTCGATTTTTTTTCCTGGTAAACTGTAGCAGAGACCACAAAATGCAGTCCATTCGCCGGTCAAATATCGAAGAGGACAATACACATTCAGGTGAGAATTTATTACATTGTTTTACGTTTTTATTTATCATTTTCAATTTACGGAAACAATCAAATTGAATTTATGCATTTCGGAAGCAGTGAACTCCTAATTACACTTTATAAATAGATGAATGCAAAAGAGAGAAAAAAAAAATTATGAGAATTCGTAGCATTGATACCGGATTCATTTAGATCGAGCGATTCCGTTCGAATACAAAAATAAAATGTAAATGAAATGCTTTTGTCCATTTATTTTAAAAGGATGTATTTTCTTCCAGCCTCCTGCCGATCCGAACATTGATTCAATTAATTACTTAACTTTTCAATAGTTTTTGTCCATTTGAATGGCTTCAATTCAAAACGGCAAAAACCGCAAACTACATGAAAAGTTTTCCAAACTTTCTCTTTGTCATATAAAACATGCGAATGCTTGAAAATTGTTTCTTTTTCCACCCCCATACAATGTACGGCCCCGAATAATGGCCGTTGTTGTAAATGAGGCTGGCAAGGAGATGGAAACGTTTACCACACCGTAGATTAAATCAAATTTAAAGCAAAAACGGTACATTGCCAGGCCGAATTGATATTAAATTGAATCAGACATTTCGTAAAACGTGTTTCAAAAGTTGAACCAATTGAATGGCGAACTTGTATATTTCAAAAGTTTTGCTACGTTTTCTAATTGAATGGTGGTGATGTCTTACATTTTATAATATTATTTGGTACGTTTGAGCAAATAAGTTGATTGAATTTCGAAAATCCATTCATTTTTGACCTCATAAATTCGTTTTTATTAAATTATACATTCAACATCTCGTCTCTATAGAGATTTATATAGTTGCATAGTTGAGCCTCAAAACTGGAAAATTAGTTTAGATCAGCAAATAGTTTTTGGCTGATTGAAAAGCTATTGAAATCGATTGGAAAATGGTGCTTGATTTTCATGAAACAATTTAATGGTGTTGATCAATTTAGAGCAAACTGAAAATGAAATAGTAATAATATGGCATGGCATGCAATTATTTCATTTGCAGAAAAGGGCATTCTAAAGAATGTGCGAGCGTACAGCGGAATCGTATTGAATGAGCACAACAAGGACAAATGGGCAGAGGACCATCGTCAGAATGGCGATAATTTGGAGTTGATACAACAGCAAGGTGAGACTCAAGATGGTGAAGAGCTAAAAGGCCCAGGATTTGAGCGTACGGCCAAAGCTCTTGAAGGTTATCATGAAGATATAATATTTATGATACAGAACGCACAATCTTCTTCGCAACGTGGAACAGGAGCGGGCAACACACCATCGGGCAGTGGCAGCATCAGTGAAGAGTTACTACGTAAAGCATTACAAGAGTGCAGTGCGGCCGCATTAAACTATGGCGAATACAAGCGTGGCGGTTCGAAGTCGAGTTCAAAAGAAAACATTTGCGACAGCATGCAACCACACTCAATTATGGTGGAGAATGGACCATCGACATCGATGATGCATTCACAGCACCGGTCGCACAGTATGCATCAACAATCACATATGCAACAATCACAACAAGCCGACGACGATGTGGCTACATCGACCGGTGGTCAATTACGTATAAGAAATATAGAAGACCTTATTAGACAATTAGAACATCATTCAACTAGACATATGAGTCCAAGCGGTTCAGAAGATATACGAATGTCAGAGAATGAAGCGGACCGCCATTATAGATTAGATAGTTCGGCTTGTAGTGAGTCCTCGCAAGGGTTAGTTCACACATTTTCCACTATTTAAATACACAATCTTGAATCTATTCGATACTTTTTTTGCATTGCTCTTTCGCATAAGATTCATTTAAATAAATTTCTCTCGTTTTATGATAATCATATGTTTTGTGCTAATTCTCTAAGTTTGTTTTACAATTTACAGTTCAAATCAACAATTAGCTCAGCAACAGAAAACTGCCACAATTATGTCATCATACAATTCTAGATGTAGGCCCCGATCCGAAGATGAAAATCGATTTGTGTACGGTGTGACGAGGTATAGACATCCAACACAAAATCGGCATCCAATGCATCAACCACATTCGCCTCATTCGACACATTCATTTGGCCATCATTCGCATCATGGCCATGCGCATGGTCATGTATCGCACGGGGCACATTCATCGCATCATTCATCTCATACGCATTTGCATCAGGACGAAGAGGGTATTTACGAAAGTGCCGATCATCACGATCGTTCAATGGTTGATCCACGTGTCAATCGTGAAACTCCAGATAGCGAAAGGTAGGTGTGCTTAATTTGCCCATTCATTTTGCTCAATTCGAATTAGAAACTTTTAAGTGTATGATCAGAAAATCAATGAATTTTGCACACATTTGCATACATACAAACAAAAACGATTTAGTTTCCTTCCGATCTGTTCCTTAATTTTTGTTTATTTTCAAACAAAAGTAAAACACCGTTTGATACGTCAAGTCACACACACACAAAAATTAAACAACAATAAAAAAAACAATTGCTTTTCAATTTCACATATCTTTTCTATTACTTCTGTCTTCTGTCTCCTTCATTTTAATTGCATATGATTTACTATACTTTTTTACACTCAGCAAATGAGACCATTTCAAATCTTTCACACAACAAAGATGACAAACTCATTCACTGACCACATTCTTAAATCACTAATCTCTCAAAAAAAAAAAAATTCAAATAATCTATAATAACGAAAAAAGAAAACTCAATAAAAATGCGAAAGAAGGAGAGAAGAGATATCAAACGGCCGATAAGAAACAAAACCGTTTTCCGTTTTCCTGTTACGATTTTTATTTTTATAGTGATGACTTTATTCAAGCTCAACCACAAATAGCGCGATGGGCGAGTGAAGATGTCGTCTCCGTGGTGCTGGAACCCGATTCAACACAGTCCATTTCTATAAAAATGCCGCATCAAACAGCACCCTCAGTCTCATTGGTAACAGCACAGTCGGCCATCAATACCGGCAACATCAACGACTCGTCGCTTCAAATTCAGCAACACCAACACTACCAAGACGCAGTCGATACTATTACATCAACGGCGATCATGAGCGACTCACCAATGGGTATTGCAATTGTTTCCTTTATTTCACTTCAAAACATTCTTTATTTTGTTATTTTCCATTGAATGCGTTTATTTTTCGATTGACATTTCGATAGGTTCGGTCGTGCCCATTCAAGTGATGACTGGAAATGGAATAAATGTCGGGCACAGGTAAATCCAATGAAATATTTTTTGAAAATAAAGAAACATTTTTTAATAAATGTGTTTTTGAATTTTAGGTACTACCCATCGCCACCATCAACGGAGACAGAAACAAGCAGTGGAAGTGTTCAACCAATTCACTTAACGCAAACAACACAGCAACAACAACATTTATCGAACCATCGACACGTCCGTATCGATCAAGATTCCGACGACGCACAATCAATGGGGACATCCGGCTATCCGGAATATAAACACTGATAGTTAATTAATCATCATCGAATGTATTTGACGTTCATTTGTTAAATGATGACCCCAAACAATCGATGCTCATCAATTCATATCCAATTAAGAAGCAAAATGATGATGATGAAACCAAACTAAATGATCAAAACGGCATTCATTCGTTCGATAAGTAAAAAAGGATCGAGTTTGTGATTCAAATACAACATTAACTCGCTCATTACGAACAATGTGTTGTCTGTAGCTTAAGCATTACAATTAGTTAAGCACTAAAACAATTTTCACCGTTCTTTTTTTTTCTCAACCACAAAACACAAGTAAAATATAAGAAAACGTTGGTCTTTTAATTTGTATATATTAAACCAAAATATGTTAATTTCGACATCGAAAAGAAGAAAGAAAAAAATCTACTCGATATTTATAGTCATGAATGCATGTGCAAGAAAACAGAATATTGAATATTATAACATAAATGAGAGAGTGTTTTGATGCTCAATCGATTGCATGAGATTTAAACAAAAACAAAATTAACAGAGCGTAATTTATATTTGTACAGAACAAAAAATAAAATAAAATGAAAACAGATTACAAACCTTAAAATCGGATTAAAATGATTTTGATAGTGAAATATGTAAATCAACCTATATATGTGTCATTATATTCGATCGACATTCAAATCAAAATATGAAGAATAGAAGAATGAACGAAGAAATCAGAACAAAAAAGACATAAGAAATTAAGAGAAAAACATTTAGAGCAAGATAATGAATAAAAAATGAAACCATCGTTACGCTTTATCAATATAGAATATAGATTGTATAAAATGAATTAAAATATACTGATATAGATATTTTAAAGAAATAAATTAGCAAACAAGATCAAAGAGACGTAAATATAATTATGTCGACAATGATTCTAAATGTATTCAAAAGTGAACGAACGTGCGTTTCATGTCAAAAAATTAGTCCAATAAATGGATTAAACTCAAGGGTTTGTGGTCGGTAAGAATGATAAACAACATTACTTCGTGAATTTGAAATTATTTATGTGGAAATTAAAGTACTTGTACATTTTTAACCGGAAAACATTTGAAGTGGCGATCCTTCAAACGAACGCGCGTACTTATGAAGTCGATTGCTGCAGTCAGATACAGCATACATTCAATGCTCGAATTCACGCGAAAATCCAAAATAACTCTCGAAATTATAATATAGAACTATTTCATACAGAAATCGAAAGATGGAATATAAGTGAGACAGAGAGATAGAGAAATTACACGATATTGAGATTAAAGCAGTAACATTATTCTAAATAAAGTTTAAACAAAAACACAGAGAGAATAAATAATGATTACATTCCAAATGCAAAGCTGATGGCAGAAAAAAAGATAGAATTTAGGTTTTAGGATAGCGCAAAATAACTTGATATAGAAATTCGCAAATCAACAAATAAAAAAATTACATTAAAAAATGCAAAAAAAATTACCACGAACTATTTACATGCGGCACAATGTAGTTGTATGTGATTTCATAGTTGACAGGATTAAGAGAATACTTGTGTACATAGGACATATAACTCTGATTTGGATATAGATCAAAACTAACAACTAAACATGATTAAATCTAATCTCGGGTTTACAATCGAATCAGAGGTGTTATTGGCACCAGAGACGTGCAAACACTCACTACTGTCCGCACTTCTATATAATTTTTCAAATTCCGCACCTGAAGATAGAAGAAAGAGCAGCGATTACAAAAAGGTGCTCGCATCTCCGCGGTGCCTATAACAGCTCTGAAGAGGCTGCATTTTACTGTAAGAAAAGAAGCGACACCATGATCAATTATTAGCGGTCCGGTATTCAGTCGTCAGCTCGAATAATTTATCTTTAGTACAGATGAGCATCGTCAATAAAGTGATCGAAATGTCTATTAATTTCAAATACAATCGACATTTTCCAGATTTTTTTCATTTTTTGATTGTAAACTCAAAATCAGATTTACTAAATAGAGACGGTCGTTTTAAAAATGCAAAACAACACAATGATCGTATAGAAAAATTAGGAACAGAAAGATCACAATATTCGTCGATAGTTTGTATCATATAAAACAATAAACTGAAACCGGCAGAACACACAACAAAATATAAAACCTATATCAATTGTTATGGTTTTGCCCGACTACTCTTAAATCGAACATTCCATTTTCCGAAATGGCTGAATGTACATACCAAGCAACACTTTTTCGTTTTTTTGTCGCTAAGCACCTCATGCAAACACAGCCAAAAGAAAAAAAAGGTCCTAGATTTAATAGAAAAGTTCACAGGCTCACATCAAATTCCAAACATAGACCCAGAAGTTTGTTCAACACCAAATAATCAAATGAATAGCAAAATAGATAAAATCTTAGTCTTACAAACCAACATGAAAAAATGAAGATTTAATATTAAAAATTCAACGATTTTTATATGTAGATTCGATTTAAAAACTGTATCTTTAAAAAAAATCAACAAAATGATGATAACGCATTGTTTTTCGCGTAATTTCAAAAAGAATAAAGAGGCTTACGTACGCAAGCTGACTTTTCCGCATGGAACCGAAATTTTGGGAATAAACTGAAATCATGCTCTTTGTATGGTTGCAGTAACTTAAATTACCGTGAAAACTTGTGAATATTATTTTCTTATCAAAATAAATAATCACACCAAGTTTAAAGAAATTTCAATCCAAAAAATAGCCTGTTCAAAGTTTCAGAGCATTACGGTACCACAAAGGCAAGTCTTTCATACAAAAATGAAACTTTTTGTGGATTTTTGTATGAAAAGTGTGTGAAAAATTGATTGCATCTTAAAACTAACATCAGATTCGGGTTTCTCCCCCTACTACACATTCATTCAGCGTTCAAATTGAAAGAATATCATTTTAAGGCATTTTTCTCATAAGTGCCTCTTCAGAGTCTAAGTTTTACACCGATCAATCAATGTCGTTGAAAATTTGACCTGATTTATTCCTCGTAGTGCCCAATCATCCCGTGAAGTCACATTTTGAATTTCATGTCTGAGCACGAAACCATCGTGTCACCAAAATGGTTGAGAAATGATCAAAAATGTATGGATGTGGGATTGTGGGTACTCCATTCGGACCAAAAAAAATTACACCGGTCAACAGATATTGCTCAAAAACTAATCAGCACGTCTCCTAGTAGTCCCAAATCATCCTGCAAAGTCAGAATTTGAATTGAGTTTTTGGAAGAGGATTTATCGTGTTAACAAATTTTGGCAACACGCCACAGGACACAGGACACAGGACACAGGACACATCACACATCACACACAGCGACGCACATTAATATGCCCCAAAATCATCTCCAATCGTGTTTTCTACATTAAATATGCATAGAAAACATGTTTTGGGATGACTTTAATTTTTTGGCCTAATACAATACCTTCCCTACACTAGGTGTGCGGAAAAGTAAAAAAAAAACAAATCAATGCGAATCAATAATATTAAATTGGTTTCTCAGTGACAATCGCGATGTCACGCGGCTCCGAATTCGAATTGTTATTTATTCGAAATAGTTCAGTTCTGTTACTTAAATCCAAGTGAAAAAGAAATTCCTACATCAACGTCCGTTCAGTTAGAATAAGCATCTCCTTTTATCTCTCTCTTTCTCTCTATCACTTTAAGTATTTTAGCATACTGCACGCCAAAACAAATATATATTTTTTCTGAATGAAATATGGTTAGTATCGGAACCGAAGACGCGCAGAATTTATGTTGCACTTTGAATTTACTTACGAAAGTACGCAGAGTCAAGACATGCACGTACTCAAACTGCTCATTCGCAGAAATCGTAGATCAGACGATCAGATAACGTAAGCATGCATGTGAACTAAAGCATATTTTCTCTCAAGTTGTTGTTGATTAGATGTTTAGATTTTAAAGTTATTTATGATTGCGTTTGATTTATCTTCTATGAAAATTATTTATTATTATTAAATACATGTATATTCTTAACGATCAGCCGCTTTTCACTAAGCTCAAATTAGAAGGAACATGTAAATAAGAGTAGCTTGATTTGTAAATGGGCCTAATTATAATTGATTATTTTGGTTTTCTTTATCATATTAAACATTATTTCCTTGAACATTCAAAGTGTGTACCAAAAGTTGATAATTCTCTACGGAACCTCTCGAACTGAACCGCCATTTGTAAGAGAGTAAAAGACAGAAGTGAACAACTAGGAAAAAATAGCGGTAAATCTGAACCGAACAAGATACTTTTCTTCGTCATATCGATGCAACTTTCACTCTTGAATTTGTCAATACAAGATGATAGATCGTGATCATTTGAGAAATGTCCAAAAAGTTCACAATTTCACTGTACATGTCCCCCGATACAAAAATACCAATCTTCTCACGAGAGTTTGCTTCTTCCAACAATTCATTTGCGCTCTGATTTCCCCGATAATCAATAAAGTTCTTTTCGTAGTTTGTAATTTATTTCAAATTTTTCTTATTATCATTTCAAGAACTAGATTCAATTTTTATTCTTTACTTTGGCATTGAGTTCGAATGTAAATTGGATATTGTAAATAGTGTAAAAATAGCAACAGAACAATTTTTCCCATTGAATAAATTTAATCTAATAAATATTGTACGCGAATTCGCTTCAATTAATTATATCTTAACGGATTTTGAGTTGTTCCAATAAACATTATAGTTACATCATCATCTTCTCCACAATACACAAAATAAAAAGTGAATATTAAATCCTGGTTCTTTTTCATAAAACTGTGTACATTATCTTATCGTAAACTTTGTACCATACACACACAAAATTAATAAAAATGCTAACAATGACGTTTTTGGGCAACAGATTTCAATGACTTAATCATTCAAATTTTGGTGCTGTAGCACAGTTACTTTCAGTTCAAATGTCAACAATAATATAAAGAAATGCATACATATAGTTGTGTCACTTTAATTGATTTGTCGGATACGTAACTGTAATTTTTGTTTGGTTATTTGTATGTAACAATGGCAATGAAAATCACAGAATGAAATTTTAAGTGGGCTATTTTGTTATGCCTCTTTTAAATAGACCCATCTATTAAATTGACTCATCTAAACAGCAATTGAAATTGATAAAATGCTGTTAACGATATACTAAAAACCAGACTTGATCTGTCTTTTTTTTATTCCAAGATTTCTTTTTAAAAAACTGCACATCACCGATTTCTAGTAAATGCTACCAACAGAATGATATCTTTTATCAATTTCAAATGCTATGCTTAACCCATACGTAGAAATCAATGGAAATCAAAGCATTCACAAAAAATAAGACTCAAAACATAGTGAACATGAACTGTATGAAAAAAATCTCCAGAGAGCCAACAATTTACTGTATCTCAACATAAATTGAAAGCAAAAACCATAGTAGTGAAATACGTAGTTTTGCGGTTCCACGCGCCACCTATAATATGTCAAATGAACGTACCAAACTATTTCAGTACGCATCTATGTTTATGACAAACAACGACAATAGTTTATGGATTCTTATTAATTTTTGTTGCTAAAATAATTTTAAAAAACTTTACATGCATAATAATAATAATATAATTTTCTTTAGTTTAATAAAAGTTACCGAATGTTGATTTTTGCAATTCTTCTCTTGAATGTGATTGAAATGTATAGTCCGACTCCAGCAGCTGAATCAAGATTTTTTTTGTTTCAGTGTAGTTATTTCAAGAATTTATTCATTTAACACGGATAAAAGTAGCGATTAAAAAAATGAAACTTAAAACCAATTTATAAAATGAAAAATGTCTATTCTGAATTTATGTGCACATCGAGCTGCTGAAGTCGCTAGCATAAGAACAAAAATGTCAATTCAAATGGACAGTTTGTAGCGAATGGAAAAATGTTATTTTTTTAGAACATGACCAATTTTGAATCAAATCGTGAATTAATTATTTTTATCCATCCGAAAAAAATAATTAAAAAGAAGATTTTTTGAGTTTTTCAGAAATAAAAATCATTATTGAATGTTGCTTTTTGAAAAAACAGCTGCTGGACTCCAGCAGCTGGATGACACTACTGGTACGCGTAGTAGCTGTCAAACATGACGTTTCACTGCTATGGCAAAAACTCATTTTCAAATGTAACTGTATCAAATAGATAATTTAATAAACTAGATTATCTCCTAAGCCAATACACAGACACACACACAAACGTACTACGAATTATGTTAAGAGTGAAAGCCAATTTGGTCTGTTTTAAAGTAGATATTTTATCTGAATATACCACATTATTATACGAATGTCCGAGAATGAAAGCGAGACTTCTATTCACAACTTATTGAAATGTAACACCACCTTACAAAATATGCTATGTCAACACTTTTTGTATGGCGGTGTTATATTTCAATAAGTTGTGAAGAGAAATCTCGCTTTCATTCTCGGACATTCATATAATTTATTTATTTATTTATTTATTCGGTTTTATTGTCTACCAAAACTGGCCGACAGTTACAAATCAAAGCTTGGAAAAGAGTAGTGAACCCTCCTTAAAAACCAAGATCTTTTCAAATATCAAATGTATAATACAAAATTCGTTAAAAATTAAATTAAAAAATAAGTTTCAAAAAGGAAGTATTATCACAAAAATAGACAAATTCAAAATTCTCGAGATCATTTGAGCTCAGTCAGATAAAATCAAATTTAAACATACAGTTAAATAATTAATTAAAAAACTAAATTGGTAATAAAAATAATAATAATAAATAAAATAAATAAATTCTTTAGTTTAAATATCACATCGATTGGTATTGTAATGATCGTTAGCTTCTCAGTTTGCATAAGTCTCCGAACAAATTATCCGGAATACTTTCTAGCTTTTTCGCGAATACAGCCGTTGGTAATGTTGGGTCAATATGCAGAGCAGCAAAGTTGAATGCTCTGCATGCAGTGTAAAATGACGAATAGAGAACGTAGTTGGTTTTGCAATGTTTTATTCGAATGAACTCTGGATTTCTGAGAGTTCTTATTCCTCGATTGATGTTCATTTCATCCATTAGTGCTGGGCAATTGAATCTACCCTTGACTAATTTATGAATAAACATAATAGATGAGTTAACTCTCCTTCTAATCAATTTATTTAAATCCAAATTCTCTGTTCTTTCTTCGTATGGGGCAAGTATATATTCATTGTCATTTCGATTTATATAGTCACCGTTTAAAAATATCACAGCTTGTTTTTGAATGCTCTCAATCATTGATCTATATTCTAATTGACGTGGTGACCAAATTGAGCTTGCGAACTCCAGGTTGGATCGAACTAAAGATGTATAGAGTAATTTGGAGATGTCGGTACTGTAGTTTGCTCTACATAATCGTCTAACAAAAGCTAGCATTGATTCAGCTTTTTTAGTGATGAATTCAATGTGTGATTTAAAGTCCAATTTAGTGTTTAAAATTACGCCTAAGTCTCGAATTTCGTTCACTCGTTC